TATCATTACAAAATGAACAAATCTGAGAGAGGTCCACATGTAGTACCTATATATGTAATATCAAAGCAATTGGACTTGCGGTTTTCAACAAGAAGTTGAAAATATCACTTTTTACTAAAAATGACAAAAATATTCACCAAAATTAGAGAATTGAAGATATCATCATGAAATGAACAAATCTGAGAGAGGTCTACCCAAGGTACATATACACCAAGTATCAAAGCATTCAGGCTTGTAGTTTTCAAGAAGAAGTCGAAAAAGTAAAACATTGACACGGACGACGACGACGACGGACAATCACTCATATGATAAGCTCCGCTCGACAAAGTCGACAGCGGAGCTAAAAAGCTCATCATTCTTCTGACAAACAAAGTGGATAATTTAAATTTCCCTTCTAACAATATACAATATCAGCCATCAATGGAGAATGTAGTTTAACTTTATCAAATAATAGTATAATTAGTAAAATATAAATTTTGATTTTTTTTTATTGAAGCAGGCTATGAAAAAGATATTACCAGACCAACAAGTAACCCAGAAGCATTACACAATCACAATTAGAACACACTTCACTGTACAGCTGAAAATAAGCCTGTGTTGATAATATCTATATATTTATAGCATCACTGAAAACAAAATTTTCCCCAGCATATACAAAGTGGCTACTGTTAAAACACTACATAAATATTGAGTTGAGATGCCTTTACCAGGAAGTCAAGGAGCAATCACAAATATCAGGGAACAGCTATAACAAGGAGCCAGGAGATCACCATTATGGGTAACAGAAAGACAGCTATGGTAGTATGGTTTCGATGCCACTGGAGGGAACCAAAGATTCAGAATGGTACCAGGAAGTTAGGAGGCTAATAGGGATACCAGGTAGTAAGGAAGTCACTATGGGATAACAGGGATTCAGGAAGCCAATAAAAGCCCAGTGTGTCAAGAAGCCCTAGTTATACCAGAGTCAGGAAGTCACTAAGAGTACTAGAAAGTCAGGAAGCCACTTGGGGTGCAAGAAGCTCAAAATGCCACTTGGGATACCATCTATTAAATAACTTCATCCATGACTAATCCCAGATAGGATTATCTAAATTTGACTCCAAGCTTAAGGTCCATCAACACCATAATTGGCAGCAATACAAACTAGAACAGAATGTTTTAAATAGCAAAAGTTTGACTTCGTTGCTGCAGTTCTTAAATTTACGTAGCATAATGTTTGCCCTCACACAGAATAAACGTTTCTGACATCAA